GATAAAAGCGTTGAAAGGTATATTTAATTTTAACTGAAATGCTTATATGTTCAAATAAACATCTGTAGGATTAAAAAAATGATCAGGACTTACAAAGAGAAGTATTTCAAGTTTAAAGCTATGCCAGCACCTATATCGCTTTATATATCTATATATTCTATATATTCTTTATATATCCTTTAATAATACTGGTTGCATTTAATAAAAGAAAGTGAATAAGTTGTTTACATACAACAAGTTCTATTCTATCAGCTTTGTATGTAAATATAATGAAATGGTTTCACATATTAATTATTGTGTCAGATAACAGTTATTATATAATTAACAACATCATTAATATGAAACTCGAGACGTTTAATAACGCCCACTACCAATGACTGGGCTATTGGAATAGCTTCATTAAATTGTGGTACGTTACAGGAAGTTATTTTAACTCGACACATTTGGTTAGGTGGTAATGTGTTGGTCAGATTTAAAAAAAAAATCTTTCTATATTTCCCACTGAGTCATTTTATAAACTCGTCTCAAGCATACACGCCGGAGACTATTATTTTAACTTGTTTTCCAAGTACTAATACAAGTAACCATAAATATTTTCGATGGGCGTATTTAGATCTTCCTTTCTTGTTATAAATTTAATATAGTCGTAAATGGTTATTACGTCTCTACACAAATCCTACAACTAATAAGTATTGCATGGAATTGGTTAAGAATTTATTGTGATTAAATTCTGAATGAACACAATGTTATTACAGCAAAGAAAATGGTATACAGAAAATAGAACAACTAATAATAATATTTGATATCTACAATATACTATATTTAATTATTAATTTAAGATTTTTAGTCAAAACCTATTTTTGATATTTTGTTCACACATCCAGTAAAATAGTTCTCATGTCGGTGGCAGATGAGTTTGCTTATTTTTACATATAATCTGTAAAGTAGATCTAAGGTAAATATTTAACTACCACCGTATATTTATGCAAACGTGGTCATATCTTTATGTCAATTAGTAATTACTGTGATAGAGTTCTGAAATATATAAAACGAGATAGACTTTTACCCTATATACTCTTTGAGACTCAGATATGATAATACCTTAGCGGTACCGTGGTATGTATGTTTTTGTACCGGTTTATTTTTGAAGTTTGTAAATGATGATTACCCTTTCTTATTGTTATGTTAGGAAACAGTTAAAAAAATTATAAAAAAAGATACACCACACACTTTTGATGCTACAAACACTCCAGCACTCAAAGCCACCAGATTTCTATTTTCAAAACCCGTACATCAAAGAGATACAATTAATGTAAGATAATAATAACAAATTTTTCATTGACTAATTGATAGTAAGGGATCTCATTTTACCGTATATGTTTCATCATCAACTAGACATAATATCCCTTATTTCTATTCGAATAACAAAAATAACAGAGTTAGCACTTATCCCAAAATAAAGCTGGGAAAATGACAGATTGTAATGGCCTTTTGTTATCCAACTCACCGTATATGCTCGAATTATTGTGAATAGAAAAATATACACATTTCAATATTATTTACAAGGTTACCGTATATCAATATTGGAAACTTTTAGACCGGAAATTATAAAAAAGCTATATTAAATTGCATTTGCATACATTCTACGCAAGAGACACCATTTCAGCTGGAAAGCTGCCAGGAAATATTCGCCACCTCCAGACCAATTTAAATAAATTATAAAATTTGTTGTTTATAAACATGAAAGCGATTGAATTATTATTCTAATAAAATGTTTACGTTATCGTTTCATTCGAATTTTACTTTATCGTAATATAAAATGGCGGCTCGCAGTCTGAAAATATTTATAATAGTTTTTAAATGCAGAATTTACGAATATGCATAAACGACTGCAACGATTTCGATGGAAGTATAACGATTAAGATGGAGTAGATAGGTTAAGTTTAAAATACAGTAATTACAACATGTGTTACAAATAATACGAATCATTATTATTTAGCATAGTTTTTATCTGTGCAGTGAATTAAAAAATAATAAAGAGTGAAATAATAATTTTTTGAGATGTAAATAGTGCCAAAAAAGGTAAAGCAATCAATGTAGTCACTGCAAATTCTTATAAATCACCTTAATAGGATCATCAGTCAGTCAATTCAAGTCCAAGTCCTTAATATCTTATTAATATGTATTAATTGTATTTGACGACATAGCTTTATTTATTTGTTTGTTATCTCTTGACGACACATACACCAAAATAGATAAACAGATTGCATGGAATTAAAAGGTTCCATTTTGTCAATTTGAAATTAAGAAATATAAATAAAACTAAAATCTACAAATGCACTAATGTAAATACACGTCTGCATTTGAACGGTATCTAGTAACATCGACAATTGTGGCAACTGAAACAAAAATATTCGGTATAAAAATTAGAATGCGATATGAAATAGTTTGAAATGAAACTCTCGAAATATCTTTCTTGTGGGTATATAGTTCGAAAACGTTATGCAAATTCAAATTGCGCAAGGAATACTTGTAGTGCATGTCGTAGAAAATTCAAGGAGTAACTCGGAACCGTTCTCACAGTGTCGTGCCTATTCCTACGTCGGTCGTGAGAGTCGCGCGTGAATCGATTGAAACTTTTCCTATTATCGCGGTATTGGCTTCGCCATCGCACTTCTTTTTGCTGATGTATTTATTCCGTGCGACTCTGCAACAGATGTTCTTAATCTACACATTATATGTCAATATATTGGAGAATCGTGACATTATGAAGTCGTAATATTTTTTTAGTTCAATCTTTATGCACATTATGTGACCCGTAAAGTATAAAGTAAATAGTTTCACACGAAAGTAAGGAAATTGTAAAACAAAACTAAAATCCACACGGTTCGGTCTGGTCATAATAAAAATATTTTTATATTTACACATATATGTACTTTGCGGAAGGTTGTTCAGTTTCATGTGTACTAACATCTCGATGAATTTTGAAATTTTTTTTTTTTCTTTTACTATATATAAAATATCTTAATACAATTTAAGAAGTGAGTTTGCTTGTTACCTTATGGCGTCTTAACAGCTTAACCAATCATTATAAAATTTACTAATAATAATATATGTATTATATGGGATGGAGAAGGAACTATTTATCTCGGTCAGTAAATATACCCTAGTTACCCAGACCAAATCACGGTTAAAAGCTATTAAGACAACAAATATGAGAATGTTTAATGATTTCTATATCCTAAATTGCACAAAATAACAATCTTTAATGAGTGATGTATCTTTTTTTTAAATTGGAAAAAGTATAAAAGATGTTTGCCCTAAAGAATGCCTCAAATGGGGTCATCCCGTTGACAATGTAACGATGATTAATAGTTGTCACATATAATTCGTTTCCTTATCGCCGTGAAGACGTTCGTGTACAGTAAATACAGTACAGAGTTATTTATACTCGTCTTTGATCGCTTGATGATTTGTTATTCCCGTGTTGCTAGGGCATTATTAGAACATCCTCAAGCACGTAATATCCCCGTTTCATCTATTTTGGGAATAATCAATCATCGTTTACCTAAACCGATATTGGCATATAAGCAGGAAACATTGAAAGTTACATCATCATTTGATAGTTCAGATTTTTAATACTTATTATCAAAGAATTCCTCTCTCTTTGCTATCCGCGGAAGCGGATGTATTCATTTCTTTGTGTTTAGTTCAGATTTTATCAAGACTTGAATTATAACAATCTTGTTTATGGATCACGTGTGTTGATGTTGCCAGTTATTTATGATTAATAAAAATAAAAATATAGACCGTGTGTGACGCAAATCGAAATAATTATTATAGTACTCCATAATTATCTTTGTTACTTATAACATATTCAAATTGTGTACTTGTTTTTGTGTTTAAAAATTAAAATAGTTCCCTGTATTTAAAGTTATAACCTCTATTGATTTCAGTCTTCGAATATTCTTTGTTCAAATTGTCTGATATTTCAAACTTGTTGGTAGAAACAAAGGCAAACTGCATTAATGTATCCCTATATAAGTGAGAATTTATCTAAGTCGAAATATTTTAATTGTATCAGTATCAACAAGGCCTGTTACCAACCGCAAAGGCCGTCAATATTGTACGCTATCGCAAGTTGTTGATTCATTTAGAATAACAAGAGAGAGTTTCTCGGGGTAAGTCTAATCGGTAAAGTTTGTAACAACATCGGCCGACTTTCCACCTCCATCGAGCGAGTTAGTTAATGTGAGTTCCCGTGCAGCGGATACGGATATCGATCGCGACAAGTGCGGGATGCCGGGATTCGTCTGGCACGCCCGGGTAACCAAACACCCCTACTCAACCCCCCTCAACGCCCGCCCGGGAGCTGTCAAAAGGATCTGTATTAACGTGCCACTCACTACTTTGTTCTTGTTTTGTTTGAAGGTTAATATTCATTTTGACCTGGATGACAGATGCGTTTGAAAATATGGTGCAGTTTTGAATTAAACGTTGAATTTTAATTAAGCTTGTAATTTTGTTTATTGTTTTCGTTGTGTTTATCTATTTATTACAATATCACAATTTTTTATTCTTACGTCTTTATTATAGTAAATATTATTGTATTTTAATTAAATTTAGCATTTATCTATATATTTGACACGGCCGCAGCGTGTTTGAATTTACGGTTAGCGTAGAAAATACAGCTGTTATTTATGAAGCAATTTTATCAAGATTACAATTCTTTATTTACCAAATATACCGAATCTATAAGTATTATTAAATCTAATAAAAACAATGACCTTGCATGTAAGGAAGGCGCAATGTGTGTGAAGTATAATTAATTATGCAAGCTTGTGTCTGGTGGCCGGGCCGGTTATGCTGCGAGGGGTGGGGCGGGTGGAGTGCGCGGGGGTGCTCCTCCCTCCTGACGCCAGTTTGCGCCATTCTCCCGCGCTGGGCACCACTACGCTCGGTTACTTGTTACTCTGAACCGTTTACGGAACGCATCTTACCTTTCACCGCACTAACGTCACATGGTTTTGAAATTCGAATGTTACACGTGACGTCGTGAAGTGATTTTGGTGATCTGTGGCCATTGTGGACCGTGGAACATTGGACGTCACCGATAGCAGTGGTACTATTAAATTCTATTTATAGCTATTCTTTATTTTGCTTTATTTGTGGACGTACACCTGCAATATTATTCTCCATTTTTTCCAAATTTCTTACAAAGCTGTATGATACAATATTTACATTACATACAAATATGTATGTAACAAGTAACTATTTCTGAATGAAGATACCAGACAATATTTATTAGTATGTAATAGCATAAACATATAAATAATAAATAGTAAATAACAATAGTAGATGATAATAACCCATTTTGTTGTAATTTAATTGGTACGTTATATTCCTTTTGTCTTTGTGAACACGAATCTACAATCTGCGGTTAGCATGTATTGGCATGAACACGAGCTCCTAATGTACACACACAAGCGCTGACTGTAAACTATACATTATGCACTTGCACTTATATACAACTATCTACGTAGTGCATACAAAGTAGAGATAGCCACACCCCAATAACAGCTCTAGGTATCTCTTTCCCACCTGCGTCGAATGTAGTACGTCTTCATTTATCATCATTATACGTGCTGAAGTATTTGGTCTAGACTGTTCCTTTCACATATGTAATTTGGTTTTTTTACAAACCTGTTCAAGTAACTTATCTGGAATTAGATTATTATCATTGTGTGCATCATTAATCGGCACATGCACTCGTAAAGTAATAAAGTCGGCCATATTGTTATTGTTATTACATGGCCGTTGAAGGAAACGGCTCGTTTGGTTTAAAGTGTTTTAACCCGGTGTTTGCTTTTGTTATTTTCTAACTTCTTTGTTAGTGGTTATTGTTCTTTTGTTCTGTGACAGAACAACCATAGAGAGGTGTTATTTATAAACAATGGCTTTTCCATTGAAATGTATTCTATTAAGAATTATAGGTACATATTTCTATATATAAATCCATAATAATATATTTCTGAAGGTCGATTGGTTGAAAGAAGTTTATATTCAGTATCCTAAACTTACTAATAAAACTTTAATACTGATTTAATGTATTCATATATTCCGTTTATATTTATGCCTGTAAAAGGTAATAAACTCCATGTCGGAGCACGATTCGAATCACGCAACAGCATAAAGGCGGCTCACTAATAGCTCCACACAGCTCGTTTACATCCTACGTCCGCCCACCATCCGCATGTTTCAGCTAGATATCTAAGTGAATAAATCTTACCTGACATCGGTAAGCTATTCTGCATACATACGTGTGTGTGGAACTTATCAGGATAGTGCAAACTAATACAAAGAGATTTGCGGAGAAAAAATACTTTTCAATTTTCTTATTTGCAATTGAAGAGTTTTCTCGGTAATACAATTTAATTCTCCAATGGATTTCTCCAATAATCTCTAAAAATTTAAATCTCAGACCATAGTATATTTGACCTTCCTCAAGGACACAATAATAAATTTATGTAATTTTTCTCAAAGATACTTTATCACAGACTAGGACTCCTGGACTGTCCCATTTAGCTTGATACTTAATATTCATTTACCTCATGCAATTATTTCATGATCTTTTTGCTCTTCACCGTTGCCTTATAGTCTTTCCAAATGATCTATAGAAATTATCATACCCTATAAATATTAACTAAGAACTACATACATCAATTATCTTTTCAATCGACTTTCAAAAAAGCTTTTCAATTCGGGTTCAAAGTAATGATGTTAAGTCAATTTAATATATCAAATCCATTGTTTAAATAACTTACATTAATCTAAATTAGTTATTCCGAATCTTACAATATAAACAAGAATATTGAGATAAAATAACTAGGTACATTCCTAATAACATCTAAACTGTCATATTTAAGTAAAACTATAAAACAATCAAATGAAACTTCTATTATTATAATATTAAATGTAAGACGTGAAATAACATAGTTTTATTGATTTTATAATCTTTTATTGACGTCATTGAATTACCAATTATGTATGATTACTACATGGATTATTTTACACTTGTTAACCTTGACATATTTGTAATATTTCTTACCTTTTGCACTTATGTAACATTATATAAATTGCATGTTTGTTTATAATGATCAGTTTGTTATGTTTAGTCTATAGCATTAAGTCGTCGTAACGTATTTCATTCCAATTATTTAAAATTTAAAGAAACAGTAATTTTATATTTGTTGGTCAAATATCATTTCAAAATAGGCTTCTTATTGGAACACTAATTGCTTTCGGAGTATCATTTTAATAAGACACATTTATATGTATCTTAATAATATTTATGACGACTACTCAGTTAATACTGTAATTACCTACTTCTCCGTTTGCATGTTTCTCTGTTAGCAATTTGCAATTTCGGAGAATAATTTACATATTTACTTCTATTTCAATTTTAGTTGCTAATTTTATACATTCATAAATGAAATCTGAATTTAATAACATCAGATACAATTCACACAATTTAACTTTCTTATCAAAAGTTAATTAATTCGCCAATTTAATATTCGGAGGCTATTAATATTTGATGAAGCTCAACTTTGAATGGTAGTCATAAAATTAATCTATTCTTTATTATTCTGGTTCAGTTTAAAGTGACTTTCCGAGATTAATTACTTTAACTTACAACTTTAGGAGGCATTGTACAAAGATAATATTAAGACATTTGGATTGGTTCCAAATATTTTTTTTGTCTTCATATGGCTGGCCAAGGAACTGTATTACGAGTGATTTACTAGCTGATTATTTTTTGTTGCAAGTTCAAATTTAAACTTCATGACAAGCAAACACTACTTACATAATCAGTAATAAAAATAATTTTATTCAAGTTATAAAGCTATCAATATTAACAATATTATTGAAAACATATAAGTACCTTCGAAGTTATTATTCATAATATCTTATGAATACGTAAATAATTTAGACAAATTAAGAACTTCAACGCTTTGAACATCATTTTAAAAATATAAAAAGTTAATCATATCATATTTTGGCTGTTTTCTCCATTTCATTGTAGTTTGTATCATAATAAAGCTAATACAATAACCTCATATCACTCGGTAACCGTATCAATGTTTTAATCTAGTTAGTTGAGTCCCAGAGGTTTAGGGCCGGGCAAGTACTGGTTCCTAGTACGAGTTAGGGGGAAGGGGGATACCGGTTGGACGAGGTGTGTTGTACTCCGGCCCTCGGGCAGTCCTCCAGCTTCAGATTTAGAGATAAATAGTCGGCTACAAGAGAACATGCCTTACAAATAGCATAGCTAAAGATATAGACTTTTTGCATTACTTTGAGAAAATTTTATACAAATTTTCTGTACTGAAATATGAATATTTTTAAGTTGAGAAAATAAAGGTGAGTTTAGAAGAAAGTGGTAGGTTTAGATTAAAGGAAAATGAACTGTTATTCGCGAATACAGTTGAGTGAATAAAGAACATTTTTAGAGCTCTTTTAAAATTTTAGCCTTTGCGCAAAATATTATTTTTTTTTATACTACTGTTTTTTTTATACAACTTAAAATGGCAAACAAGCTGCCGGTCCACCTGATGTAAAGTGATAACCGTCGCCTATAGACATGAGCATAACAGAGATATACCATGGACATAACAAAGTATACTGTTTCGCCCATGATACCCCTCATGCATTGCCATTCCTGAGGACTCAGATGTTATTCCTCTGTACCCAGTAAATTTACGCCATATCCCATCCTTCAAACACAGCCATGCAAACAAAACTGCTTCATGCTTGAAACACGAAATGGGACAGAGGTACCCAAGTAATCGACTTTTGTACAAAGTCTCCCTCTGGTATACTACTGTAGTGACAATAAAGCATACGACCCGTCTGATGGTATACGGGGGAATGGATAAAACTTGCTTAGTTTCTTTGTCATAGCTTCTACCTACCTACCCTATATTCCGTCGGTATATAGTTAAATGTCTTGTATTACCGCAGTGCACAAGTTATTTAAAGAAAAGGTTTCTTTAGACCGTGATGTCGCTATGTTTTGTTCTCGTATTCTTACTGGAAAGACTTGGTCATTGCATTTGTTAAATACATATTTAGTAATATTGATCACTGTTACTAGTGATGTTTGATAGTCTGGATCAGGATTGAATCCTAGATATATAATCGAAGATCTGTGAATAACAAATCTTCATATAATGACAGAGTAAGAACCCTTTGTCATTGCATCTTTTCAACCTCAGGTGACGTAAGTCTCTTGCGTCACCCTGCCTTTAAAAAGGGATACAAAATATAATAAACTACAATGGCAGGGAAGAAGTCGAAAGCAAACTGTACATAAAGTCGCGTACAAAGTGTGTCAAATGTACGCTAAATATTAAGAGAGATAGAGATACACGTTGTGTGGTAATAGATAGATAGATAGATAATTTATTTGCATTACTTACAGCACACAAATTACAACATATACTAATATACATAAAAAGCGAGATAACATAATTTATTAAAAAAAAATACATAAAGCCAAATACAATTTTTCGTTTGTGCGTGTGCCATAACAGTACAAAATGGCCACAACTCAGTTTATTGCTTCGCCCTCAAAAGTGGGTAGTCCCAACAGTGGGTATTAACTATATGTATGATATAAATCTACCATGCATTAGAAGAGTAATTTAGTTGACATAATAATATAGATAGATTGTACGTGCTATTAATCTGTCTAGGTACCATTGCAGTTGTGGAAAGGTCAGTCGACTCGTGCATTGCTTACGTAACTATAAACCACGTTGGTAGTATATGCATTTGTGATATCTACATACATTATGCAACATATCGTTAAGTGTCTTAGTACTCGTACATGCATATCGTACTTTATTGCTGTCAATTATTAAGTGCCACTGAACGTTATCGGTGATCTGAATTATGTATTGAACGTAAATGAGTTTCTATTATGATCGAGGACGTGTTGTAGTTAATGATTGTGTACTTGTATGACATAAATGGAAAAGTTAGTCCGTCTTTTTAATATTTTTATGGTTAAATTACTAACCGATATAGATGTATTATAAAAAGGTATTTTAAAAATGAAAGATATACACAAAATCTAAAATCTAGTACGTATCAAAACTTGTATTACCAGCGAAGATTACGTACAGTCCTTTCTTTATACAACGATAGACGGACGCAAGTATACAGTCTCCTTGATGGTAAGTGGTTACATATACTATGGACACCTGCAATACCAGGGGTGTCACGTACTTTTTTTTTATTTCTGTATATTCGTTTATTATTAAAGCGTTATAAATTTATAAGTTAAATGTGAATCAGAATTGTTTTGCAGAGTCTATAGATTAAATACGAATACAATGGACTTCTAATATTGTATTGAAAAAAGTTATGGTAAAATCGCTATCATAGTTATGCAGAACAGAAATATATTATGAGAAAAATATTTAGTATCTA